GTTCCGTTCCGTTCCGTCTGCAGTGTCGTGCGTGAAAGTACAAGGACCGCGGTACTTTTTAATTACAGTATGGTATGTCTGTCGGTACAGACAGTACTTTTAAATCGACTCCAACGAAAATATTATTTTCTAGGGAATTGTGTATCTCACAAAGTTGATGGCATTCATAGCACCAAATAAATTTAAATCCGCACTACCATGCATTACGGGGAAAACACCCCCAAAACGCAAGAATTCTCCCAACCGACCCGTCACATCGCGCCACGACGAGGAATTCCCTGGACGGAGCCTGGCAATCGCGCCGAAAAAACGAGAAGGGGTGAAGAAGGGGGTGAAGAAGGGGGTGAAGAAGAAGGGGGTGGGAGACCCCTCTCCCGCTCAGGTGGCCGCCGGGAGGAAGGAAAAATCTGAGGTGGGGAAACCGGGTGAGCCCGGGCCTGCCCGGATATCAAGGAAGAAAGCATGACAGACCGAGATGGGCTTATTGGAAACAGGAAGAGAGAGCGACGTATATTAAATCCCTTCGTCGAAGGAAAAATGCCTGGCAGGAGCAGGAATTCCGAATATTGTCATATCATAAATATATTGTCATGCACGTTATGAGAGACTCACTCAACAGCTTATTTCAGAGGTTCTTCTCCTTTTCCTCGTTTTCCTCCTCCTCCTCTTGCAAAGAGCAAGAGCATCTTCAAACAGGGCTTTTTTTCTCTTAAACTTAACCATTAACCATTTATTTAATTAGTTACCCATCTCGCACTTGGGAAGCGTGAAAAAAATAAACAGCTAGTGCAAAAGGGTGATGAAAACTCGAACAGCCAGGATGGGCATAGATAGGAATCCGTCTTGAAATGACCCAATCAATCGGGAATCGGGAATCAATGTTCACACCTACACCCCCTGTTGAAGCAATGTGTCAGCAAATCACGTGATTCTCATTCAAAGATGGCATCAGAATCCTCATGGCAAAAGCTAATCCTCTCAAGTCATGTTCTCAATAGTACTTCATTATTAAGGAATCAATCAATGTATTCATTAATATAATTATTTAAGGCAATTACAGTGAAACAAGAATGTGGAAAACCAGCTGGATCCAGCTTGGGCAAATCGGATTAGATGAATCACGATGAATTCCTTCAATTTCACTGAATCCTGAATCAATCGATGATGTGTTCAGTCCTATGAAGAAGTTGACAACAGTTTCCACATCTCCCGATGAATGTGATTTTCTTCGGTTGATTGATCTGATTGCGACTTACTTGCTTGCACGAGTCAGAAGCGACATTTGTCAAAGGGACAAGGTGAATTAAAAGCAAAGAGCAAGCGGGCCTTGATTGCCAAGTTTAGCCAAAGAATTGCGAATTTCTCCAATTTGGAGAATTGTGGAAAATCTGATCATGTTCCGCCCTCGATGAGAAAAAGGAAGAAAGAAAAAGACAGCTTTCCATGCCCCAGAAAATGAAGGTTGGGCAGCGCAATAAATAATATGAACAATAATGGCGAGGCTTGATTAATCCTCCAGGACTTCGCCATTTGTTCCGTGAGCATTAAATATGAACGAGAACAAAAAAGTTGCACTGTTCCATTTTCCCGTTACTTTCAAGTTGCTGAGTTTCACGATACTGCACTCAAATCAACGGGTTCAAAATGTCAAAGAGATTTTCTCAGAAAATGAACGATTTGAGGAACTTTCTCAATTTTTTCCTTCTTCTGGATTATTATGAAATTGAAAGGAAATTAAACAAGAATGAAATTTCAAGAGTCACGATGTTGGCAGATGCTTTGCATCGGGTCGTGGTAGAACAGAACACGAATAAAACAAATACGAGGTCATAACTAGGGAGCGGATTTTTGCCTTATTGTAGAGGAGGCGATTTCTGCCATACGCATAACAATGCTTATTTTAAGGCTTATCTCAGCATGTGCATATTTACGTATATACAGTATGTGTATATTTATGCATATTTCGCCATATTTTGGGGAAAAATAAGGGTTTTCCAGGAATGTCTTTTTATTTTTAATGAGCTACAGATGAAAATTTTCGAGCGGTTATGTGCTGTGACCAGTAGCGTAGAGAAGGGGGGAGGGGGGGGGGGGGGTGGCGAAGTCCCCAAATAAAATAAGGGTTTTCCAGGAATGTCTTTTTATTTTTAATGAGCTACAGATGAAAATTTTCGAGCGGTTATGTGCTGTGACCAGTAGCGTAGAGAAGGGGGGGGGGGGGGGGTTGGCGAAGTCCCCAAACTCTCCCCTAAATCTATCCGGTACTCCAGAAAAATTTAGGAAATCCTGGCCCTCATTCGTTTCCTTTAGCCTTTAGCCATTGGCGGGTTCCCGGTTTTCCAGCTGGCTGTGACAACAGACCAACTCTACCCAGTAGAGGCATGAAATGTTCATTGATGTTCCTTCTTCCGAAAAATTCGTACAACATTAAAAAAAAGAACATTTTTTTCCATATTTTCCCTCATTCATGCGTATTTTGGCATTTTTAAGTGCATATGTATGTGCATATTTTTGCATTTATTAGCGCATAAAAATCCTCTCCCTAGTTTTTGCTATGTGAGAGCTGGGGGCATCCACTCCATACCCTAACAAGCCTACTTGGCCCGTGCATTCCGGTGACATCCTCATCCATGTGGATGACATCAAGTGTGACTCGATGTCACCCAGAGGGTAGTCAGCACTGCTGACTCGGCAGTGCGACCTAACGAAACGGGGCAGCGATTCGCCTCCATCCCTTAACGAGAGGTTGAAGGACAGGAAAAGCGGGCAGCGAATGTCCTCCCTCTCCTTCAGGCGAGGGCAGCTAATAGGGCAGAACACGGTTTTTGGATTGAATTGATAACCCCCCCCCCATTGCGGAGAACCGGGAAAATACAAGATTCCCAGACGATACGCTAGATGTCAAGCCCGTTGCTCGGCACGGTTGTTGGATGGTAGGTGGTAATTCCGCTTTTGGGATGACCATTGAGAAGAAAGTACGCTTTCATTCTCTGGAAAATAAAATGAGATTAATAACAAGAAAAACCATGGAAGGATATTCTACATTTCTTTGGTTGTTCTTCCTTAGAAGAAGATGTAGATGCTGTCCCGTCTTCGAACATCCGCGCGAAGACGAAACTCGCAGGCCCCTTAGCAGGAAGAGGCTTCTCGAGTCATGACTTCTCGCGACAATTATGGAAGCTTTTCAGATTATTTACGGATAATTATCATCCGATAACATTGCGCGGGCGACATGCATCGAACGTTTGCAGTCCTGCTCGGGACGGAAAGACTCGGCAACGACGCAGCAAAACGGGGTTCGATCTCGCGAGGAATGGACCCAATGTGGCAGGAGAAACGAGGCGGAAGCGTTGCTAACAGCAGCTGTGAGACTCTCGGCTCCACCTTCGGTGGCTTCGCGAGTCCCTGTTATATCCCCTTTCCCTGCCCTCTTTGAAAAAACTTACTTTCCTGCTCTCATTTCTCCGTTTCCGGCAACTATTCCCCGTTATGCTTCCAACATTCGTCTGCCGTCAGAAAACCGGACGTCCCTGACAAAAATGACGATTTAAGATATGGAATCCTTAGCGTGCAAAATTCTCAGGTCCCAGGCCTAGTCTGCAAGGAAGAAAAAACCGAAACCACTGGAACTGGATCTGCGTTGCTTATAAGCCGACGAGACTGAAAACCGTGCAACCGCGCAGGACTCCACTGATGAAGAATCCGTCACCCACGAAGGATTCTACTAATACTTAATCTTCCATCCGCAAGATGTCCTTCATGCATTTCAGCCATCTTTGTGTTTCACTTTAATAAATAAATCAGGAGTTTTCGTTGAAATTAAATAAGCTCCCAGCACCAACTTTAGCCAAATGGGATAANGGGGGGGGGGGGGGGGGGGGGGGGGGGGGGGGGGGGGGTACTAATTCAATCAGAAAACCAATGTGCAGTTCCCAGGGACGGATTAAGAAGTTGCGAGGCCCGGGGCAAGTGAATTCGTGGGGCTTTCCCCCCCCCCCCCCCCGCCCCTCGCTATTTTACGCAAATACAATACTTTTTTTGTACTTAAAAGTTTTTAATTTCCTTCGGGGGGCCCCTGGAAGAGTGGAGACCGGGGCAACTGCCCCTTTTGCCCCCTCCCCCCCTTTATCCGGCCCTAGTAGTTCCAGTTCGCTTTTTCTCGGTTTGATGCTTTTCCCCTTCGACTTCCAAGTCATTCAGATTAGCTCTACAATACGCTCATGCCGTGGTGTACGTGCAACACCTTTGCGCTAGGCCCTGTCATGTTTACGTCGCGCCTTCACAGAACGAACAACCACGGGCGATACGACCTTGAAAATTTTCGCTCCTTGGCAATTACAACGACTCGAACCAGTTCTAGGATAATTAAAACGGACTCACGTTCGTCGTCTTCCTCCTTCGACGCCTGCGCATTGGGCCTGCGACGGATGAACGCCGACATTTCGGACACGGGTCATTCCCAGGTGAACGGTCGAGCGAATAATAAATTCGATGACGACTGACTCACATCTGTCTGGCACCTCAAGTATGAGACTACTTCGCCCCGCGCGTCATGAACGTCACGCGGTGGCATGCTTGCGGTCGAGACGGAAAATAGTTCGTTCAAGGCTTCGCAAATCAGGACTCCAATGTTTCTCGCTCCGGAAACGACCCTTATGCCTCCTGCCTCAGAGATTCTTGTTTACAAGTAGAGATGGAGCTGAGGTTGCGCCAACCGTCATGGCGGCCACCGTGCCAGGCAAGGAGTGGTAGGACGACCTTGCCTATGACCTTTTGTATTCTCTCGAGTCTTTCGCATGGCTGGCTGGCCTAGACTCCTTATATCACCTAACTGTGATTCTACGGTTGTGATTAAGCCATACTATAGCCACCTAACAGCAGCCTACGGTTGGAATGAGTTCAGAGGCATCAGTGAAGCTAACAAGCCTAAGGTTAGGCCTAAGTCAAAGCCTAAGGCTGAAGTCAGGACAGGGCCACGAGAGCTTAGCACGAGCCATCCGATGTGCAGTGTATTTTACTCGAGTCAGACGGTTTTTCACTCACGCGGACGGTCGTGGTAGGGAACTGCCTTGTGTGATGATCAGGATTATTATTGATTATTGTGGATCTGAATCTTCATTGCACTTGAGGGCATTTTTATCTCTGTCCACTCGATACGTGAAGGCTATGCATGAGTTGGACTTTGTAATTCCCCGATGCTGCTCATGTTTGACCCTCAGAGTAACTGGCTTTTGGCCTTTTGCAATGTGGACTAATATCCAGAGGGAGTCCCAATCATGTAGTTTGAGAAGCACATTATATAGGACCCTGGTTAGGCTAGGCAATTGAAGAGACTGACTTTGTTTTACCTGGTATGGCATTATGCATCACTCATGCTGTTTGAAGAGCAACTTCTTTTCGACTTTTTTTACTCTGACTTTTTTTTGCAATTCACTGGAAAGGATTTATGACAGGCCTAAAAGAAGCCTTGATCTTGTTGCCTCCATTAATTACTTAGATAATATCTACAAAATTATCCCATTTGGCTAAAGTTGGTGCTGGGAGCTTATTTAATTTCAACGAAAACTCCTGATTTATTTATTAAAGTGAAACACAAAGATGGCTGAAATTAGAATAGCCCACTCTTAGTCTTCTACTGCCATTTTATCAGTTCAGAGACTAGAGAAAGTTGCTGTTAACTTGGGAAGCATCTACTGATCCACTTTGCCCCTTGACTTACATTTCCATATTCAAACTTTTCTTTTTACTTTGCCATTTGCTAAGGTGTGATCATTGGTCATTTTCAAGGATCCACAAAAAATACTCACTGAAATATTAGTGTCAAATTTTGTAACTAAACTTCCCTGAATAAAGAGAATATATTGCATCACTAAACTCTTATGAACCTTCAACTCAGCAAATCATTCATACAGTACTAATGAACAAATTTAAACTAATCATATTTGATTAATTGCAGTATCAAACCAGCAACTTTATCAAATTTAATCCAAAAAATAAAAAAAAATGTTTAGCTGGTATGTAGCATGTCTGTTACATCATGCATTAAAGGGTTGAAAGTAAAACTGTGTTGACTTTACTTGAAAAACTATATATCAGCAACCTTCGACCCAATTTCACCTACAAGTCATTGGCATATGTATTAAACTCCTAGCTTGGCTATCAGATTGTGACCACTTGCTTTTTGGCCTTTCATGTGATTTTGATAGTTGCTCATATTCTCCTTCCTTAATTCAGATCAATCAGGCCCCAAGCCCATGCACTAATTGCCTAGTATTTATCAGAGGTTTGCAGAACACCAATTCCAAACATCTTGTCTTTGTTGGATTTCAAGACACCAGATGGCTTCTCGAGTAAGTTTTAATTCTTGGAAAAAGTACCAAGGTTCACCTAGAATAATTCCAAATAAAAATCCTTAACCCTTGTTGCTGAAGTACATTGCCCAAGTATGAAGTGACGAAAGACAAAGTGTGTGATAGTGTAGCTCAATGTGATGCTTTTTCATTTTTGTGGTTTTAGCTCGTGGCTTCTCCGCAACAATTGGTCGCGTATCATCGCAGTCTTCAGACTGCTCTCCAGAGCGTGAGATCATTTTCATCCCAAGGTAGCCGGAAGAAGGATCCAAGGGGGAATCAGCTATCCAACAGCAGAGAAGGTTAAAGAATATATTTATACCTGGATTGCTCAAAGAGGATTTTAAAGGAGACATCCAGATAAATAAATAAAAAATAGTTGGAGTTAGGCAGGATAGAGAGAGAGAAAAAGAAGACTTAGAATGATGTTCTTCATGGATGTAACTTGGACATTTCTCCTTTTGTAATGTGACCCTAACTTCAACTTTCTCATCATTTTACTTTCAATCTCCACCTGTCTCATATTTGTTTTCTTTGAACTCTGTTCTAAATTAAAGTTTTTGCCAAATCATGATGAGAGAAAGGAGTTGGAAAAAAATAGTACTTGCTTCATCATTGATACAACTGTCATTTGTGATAATCTTTATATTCATTATGATTGTATTTTTCTTTTCAGATGTTTGCTACCATGCACCCATGTTGGGAGTGGCAGGTAGAGAACACTCAGACATAATCATTTTGCATGTTCCCATCTTGTGGCTCCTTCGTTTCTTTTCGCCATAGCTCGGAGCAATTCCTCGCCTTTCATGGGGTAGGCCCAGGCTGCCTGATGCAGTTTTGAACCCATGCTCAATCATTGGGGATATGTCTTTTGGCAGAGTTGTTTATATGCTGACAATTACTCACGCAGGAAAAGCTAAAACTTGGATAATGAATGCAGGCCTCCAGTAAAATGTACTGAATATTGCAAAATGTAGGAGAGTGATTTGTTGACTGACATATCAACTCATTAAAAGCATTCTACTTCATTTGAAAATTGATATTCCTCCTAATTGGTCCATTGAGCTGAAAGGAATTTTTTGGATTAGATTGGGAGCATGTCCCCAGAACTGAAAGTCATAGTCTTTCCATTTATGAAATTTTCACTCACTTGCAATTGACTTAAAATCTCAATTGGGCTTCTCATCCCATCCTTCAGCATTTTCCATGCTAAGGGATGGAATCACAATTTTCTGTGCAGTTGTGCCAGAGATGCACAGGTTATGCCGAGGTGGCTATTTAGAAGGGAAAATAAATACTGTGAAACCCCTTTTTTTTGCTGGGCTGAAATATTGGAGTCTTTTTGTATGGTTGATTAATTTAAAGGACCTAAATCTGTGTTCAAGTAATTTCTTTCTCAAATTCATGCTTGGACCCCTCCTTCACCACTAATGGAAATATAAATTTAATTTTTAGTTGCCTTCTGCTTGCATCACTTTGATATATAATATTTTATGTGCAGTAAAACTAAATTTTTTTGTTGTTAGCTTTTCTGGTGTTTTTGTAGTCACTTTTAATGGCTCATCCTCCATGGCAATAGTAACAATTGCTATCTTGAGCCTCTGGTTCCTGAAAGGGTACCAGTGTAGTAGCATGTATGCCTGCATGTAGGGTTGTACAACATTTTTTTTCTCTAGATTAATTCACAGGAAACTAATTTGCATTCAATTTGAATTATGATTATCACTTAAGTAAAACCCATGTGAAAAAAGGGTTTAACAGTAATAAAGTGGGATATATTGCAATTTCATTAACTCCATTACAAGGTGTTGACAGATTATACATTTTGGCATCTCTGAAAGAACTAATATTGGTGCATTGAAAAATGAGGTGGTTGGTCTTTGTCCTAATGTTGAAAAGTTAGTACCTGTTGTTAGTCTCATCCGCACTAACTGCAAGATGCAATTGATAGAAAATTTAAATTTTTTAATACTCCTTTTTTGCTGTTGGTGAGCTGTGTTGTAATGGAATCATTTACATTTCATTGATTTAGCTTTTTGTTTTCGTGAACAAATATTTTGATGAGACTGATATGAAATGATTTGTTTCAGGTGAAGGAGGACTTGTTAGCAAGACCCAGCTCGGCCTGATCGGTCCTCAGGAGCATTCTTTCCCCCTCCCGGGCAACATCGGGTTCGACCACCAACTGCGGTCGAGAACCTTCAAGGATTCCTGGTCTTCGAGTCGCTGCGTTCAACCACTTCAGCTTCTTTCTGCCCTCACCAATCACGATCGGCACCTCCAAGTAGGTATCCTTGTTCAATGGGTTGCAGTTATTACAAGTTGATATACTTTTAACTTTTGCAAAAATAAAACTTATTTTGTGTTGAAAACTTGGAGCAAAGAATTCTGCTAAACTGACCAATTCTGCCCTTTGTTCTTGAAACTTGCATGGAAAGCCACTTCTCATTAAACTTTTGAGAGCTGATGTATGATCTGAAAGCTTCTTTTGGATGTTTACAAGTATTGTAAACTTAAATTTAAATAATTTGGTGATAGCCAAAATAATTAAGGAATAAAATGTTAGGATTTTTGAACAACTGTCAATGGATTCCCTCCATAGTAAGAACAAGAGCTTTTCTGTAGGTACTATACTGAGCTTTACTCTATGGTAAGATGCTCTTCATGTCACTGATGCAGTTTTGATGTGGTTTCCCTGCCTGCTTCAGGGAAACTTTTTTTAAATCATTCATTGCAACTCTCTCTCTTGCTCAGGCTGTGAGAGATTTTCTGGAAAGTCCAGTTCCCATGGAGGTGGTCCCAGAATCCAAGCCTATGCAGCCAGACAGCTTGGAATGTGCTGCCCAAGAGTGTCCCAAACTGCTTCGCAAAGGTAACTAGTTTTCAGGCGTGAGCTATTATTGCGTTGAAGGTGAATATCAATTACTTTCTTTAAGGTAAGGCTTTCAATGTAAATTGTGCAACTCCCTAAGGTAATGGTAAGATATTTGTTGGCAGCTGGTTTAGAAGTTGTGGAGTATGAATATCCCAATGCATTTTTAACAATTCATTTGAAAAGTGACTCTTTCATTTCCACTTTGCCAGTGGTCCTTGAAAATTCTCAGGTTCAGGCTGCATCATTACTTTGGTCAACCTTGAGTGGGCCATCTGAAGTCCCTCATATCATTCCTGAATATTTTTCATTTGTACTTTTTCCTAGATACCTATTTGAATCCCTCCACATTTAATACCACCATTCAACTCATATTAGCCCATTTAATGCTGTGGGGCTGGTTTTTCAGCCATGCCTTTTCATTGGGTTTCTTCCTTCATGTAGTTGTGGGTTCTTCTTGTTAGATGGCATAAAAATTGTCCTATAGCATTTTTGAAAGTAGTAGACATGGCAGAAAAATTGACTGCACAGCACCAAAGGAGGTAAGATGTGATTTCTATCTCTCTGTGAGTATAAGGACCCCAAGTAAGCCAATGGTGTTAGAGTTTGAAAATGCAGAATAGACTAAAGGCATTGGCAACAGCTTATGATTACAGTGCTGCCTAAATTGTTTTCTTTAGCATCGGCATTCATGTTCTCGTTTTATTTTCAGAGTTTAATGACCTCTTTCCTGATCGGAACTTGAAGCAAGGAACCCTTTCCCTTGTGACTTTGAGTCAGAAGACATTGAATGACATGAGCAGTTGGAGTAGTGCAGTAGAGGAAGAGAGGGAGAAGCTCACTTCCACGGTAGGTGTCACGTCTGGGGATTGCTGACTTGTGTAAACCATTATTCCTGCATAGCAATGCAAACCTTTCATGTTTTTCTTTTTATCTTGTATTTTGAAGAACTCATCCAGGAATCACTCAGAATATGTCTGCCTGTTGTAAAGAATGAATGACCTGATCATATCCCTCTAAGAAATATTAATCTCACTTCGCAATCAATGGCATTCCCAAAGCATAAAGGTGCTTTGAAAAAAAACGTTTATTTTATGGAGTTATTGACAGGTTGGTTTAGTTAGTTTTCAGTTAGTTAGTCTGCAGTTAGTTTTCTACATTGCCTTCAAAGCATTTATTTTCATACCATATTTTATGCACAGTTCGTAGATCTGGCCCAAGAGCTCTGCAGTCAGTTGCATTCCGAGGGATACTGGGCGGACTTCATCGACCCGAGCTCCGGTCGGCCGTATCTGGGCGCATACACCAATGCGACCCTCTTTGAGACGGACGAACGTTTCAGGCACCTTGGCTTCGAGATAGAAGATTTGGGATGCTGCAAGGTCATCAGTCACCATCGTTGGGCCACTCATGTGTTTGTGGGTGAGTGCTGCAAGATTCCTGTCGTCCAACAGTCGCCGGCGATTCTGTTACGTTTCGGATTCCAATACGGCTTTATGGGGCTTGTAACTTGGAGATGTGCACTTTGCTCTTTGTGGGCTGTGAGCAACATTTTAAAACACACCAAGCAGAACTCGAGCATCAGAATAAAAAGGATAGACCCACAGAATGGAACAAAAACATGGAAAAATGAAAGTAAAATTCATGCTGGAATGCAGGCTCAACTGACCCTGAATCTGTGTTTTCAGTTTTGTTTGTGTACAGGGTTATTTTTAAAAGTTCCTAGTTTCCTATTCTCATAACTATTGTTTTAATGATGTTACGGAAGCCAAATTTGCACAGAAAATGGGGAAGACATAGGAGGTTCGTGTTGGCTCGATGCTCAGGAAATAGTAAGAACGATGTGACCTCCATTTTCATTAATCTCAATGCCCAACATGAGCCACATTTTCACTTTGAAGTCTAATATTCCATGTCAAGGTTTGACAGAAGATTCATTTTGATTTTGTGTCATCCAGTTCATGCCTAAATGAATCGCCTTTCCTCCCCTGTCAGGTTGCATCTTCACAAATGCTCCTTTGGATCATCCAGTCATGCAACAGCTGCTGCAGAAGGATGGTGCAGCCAAATGCTAAACGATTCCCACACCCCATGGAGACTCATCCTAGTCGTCATCGTGAAAAGGTGTGCACGGTCTGGATGGAATTCGAAAGATGCTTTCAGATTTTTTCTCTCTATTATGTCATCACTGTTTTTGAGTGAATCTTTGTTATGATGTCTATTCTCTGTGTTGTGATACCTCTCATGATGTAGATTATTTGTTGCAAAGGACACGAAGAGTCGGAGTAAACATAATGAGTCTGTTTTTTGTTATTCTTTGTCAGTCTTATCCTGAGAATCGTCATTGGGATTTTAAAGCGAAGGATCATTTTGCCATCACATATAAATAGAAAGTAATGAAGTAAGTTTCATTACTTTCTATGTACTGGTATGGAAAGGTACTATGTACATTTCAAAACTGTTGTTGTTGGTTCTTTGTCAATAGTTCTGTTTTTTTAAGTGTAGGCGACTGAAAGCTTACAGTTTAAAAGGAGAAGTGAACTTTTTTTTTTCGCAATCTGCATTCATCAAATGTTGTCCAGCCATGAAAGACTACAGAGACGATGCCAAATTTGGCCATCGGAAATAACTCGACTCGATTGCAAGAATTCTTAAGAGAGAGAAAGAAGAATGAAAATACAATAAAATTGATAAGGTTTAAAAGGGGAAGCATGTGCTGTGTACACCGGTTTCCAAAACTTACGGAACACATTAAAAATCCGTGATCCCCAATCGCATGTCTCATAAGTATAAAAGGGAAAGGGAGGTCTTTGCGATCGGCTACGTCATACCGACTGGTTTGATATTGTGGATTAAACTGGACCCGGAACAGTTGACGGCGTACGTAATTATGTCCCTGGTCGGTTTTCGACCGAACGATTTCGGGACGGGCCCATTCCGATTTAAATGTGAGTAAATAATCGATTAGAAACGATGCCATTCGGTTCCCCGGTTTGCTATGCCATGCATGGGCACGACATCGTGGTCGTAGGGTTGAGGTGATAGTGCTCCGAAGTGGCAGGACGCACGGTGGACGAGGCAGATTTCTGTCGTGTCCACTATGCGTCCGCTCTCGTGCTTGCCCTAGGGCAAGCACGAGAGCGACGTCCGCAGGTCCTCTCGTTCTCCAGGTGGAAGCATGCGTCCGCAACCGCTTCCTGCTGCCTTTGCGAGACGAGGAGGATGAAAGAAGGACTCGAAAACACGATTTCCTGGTTTGAATTCGCTCGTTCCGTCTGACGAGAGAAGAGCAAAAGCTTCCTTTCCTTCCATCAATTCTCGCGGATTCCATATACCTCGGAAGACGATGAATGGAAGTGTCACTCGGTCGCTCGCTGGTGCGAAGTCGCATCCGGATGCGAGGAAGCGTTTTTCTTCCGTTTCAGGAAGGGTCTTTCTTCCGTGTGAGAAAGGGTCTTTCTTGATGGAACAAAGGGTTTCGCGACGGGGAAGAACGGAAAAGGGGCGAGGAATTTTCGCTTTCGTAACTCTTTTATTTTTTTTTTTCTGGAGCGATTCCTCGAAAACCCGCCCGGACGGAAACCCTCTCGGCTCCGTCGCGCGTTTCACAGGTGGATCGGGCCGCAGCGCCGGCGGGAACGATCCAAGGATTTACGCGTCCAGGCGGATTTCGCACGATCAGAATTGCTGGAGTCGGGGGAGAAAGGGCGATTTTTTCAAATTATGCAAAATACCCCAGGTGCGAGTTTCCTTGCTCATCGTCTCAGTTAAAACTTAAGTGAAGGAGAATATATATTTGCTGAAGATAACAGTTAAACTTCTTCATTTTGTATTAAAGAAGGGCAATGTTTCGGAAATGTGAAGCTCACGGTTTTCTGCCTAGGAATCGCGATTTTGCGGTGTTAAGTGCCTCAGTACTTTCCCGCTTTAAAGTCGGGAAATCGATTATTCATAATGAATTAGTAGTCATACAAGTTAACTTAACAGTTCAGAAAAGTTGAAATGTTGAAAGCTGGAGGTCTTTTTTTGGTCCCAATGACAAATTTAAACTCCCTCATCTCCAATTTGCCAATCTCGCTACTTTTATTTTTTATTTTTATTTTTTTTTTTAGCACAGTACGGCTGCATGCGAAATCATTTGAATTCCGGGATCGTTGAGCAATCGTACAACTGCGACGGAGCCATCTATAAGTCATATGATGGGTGGAGCGAATCACCTGGAAATTCTGTAATGGTGGAGCGATCCACCTGGAAATTCTGTAATGGTGGAGCGATCCATCTGGAAATTCTGTAATGGTGGAGCGATCCATCTGGAAATTCTGTAATGGTGGAGCGATCCACCTGGAAATTCTGTAATGGTGGAGCGATCCACCAGGAAATTCTGTAATGGTGGAGCGATCCACCAGGAAATTCTGTAATGGTGGAGCGATCCACCAGGAAATTCTGTAATGGTGGAGCGATCCACCTGGAAATTCTGTAATGGTGGAGCGATCCACCTGGAAATTCTGTAATGGTGGAGCGATCCACCTGGAAATTCTGTAATGGTGGAGCGATCCGCCTGGAAATTTCGCATCGGTGAAGCCAGGGCCGGACCGGACGCAAAGGCGTCCGTTCCCCACAATGAAACTTCCACGGAGGATCCCCAAAGGAAATTTGAAAACGTTGAGTCTCAGCGCGAAGCATCGGACGTTACGAAGGGAAAATTTTCCACCACCGGCGACCGCGTGGCTCCTCGAGAACCGTCGGTGTTCCATGGGATTTGGACGCTGGGCAAACTTGTGGCGATCGGGTCGACGTATTCGCCACGTTATTCAAAATATATGCGCTATTAATAAAAAGAATGCGCAATCTTTTGGAGGTAGGTTTGAGGTTGTAAACCGTCATCAATCAAGACCGATAAACAGTAAAATACAAAATAAAATGTGGCGAGTGGCGAACGTACAGTATTGGACATCATGGCTCTAGACTACTTGGACCACCAGGTAAAATGTCCTTGGGGGGGGCAGGAATACGCTTGCGTCGGGCGTCGCAACGTCTTTTTCTGGCCCTGAGTGGAGCGATCCACCTGTTAATTGTGTAACTTATGACTTTCGGCAGAATGAGGAGTCCAACGTCTCGCAGCCTCGTCTGTCCCTTGTGATCGTCGGCCGTGCAGGCGTTTCCGCCTCCCATAAGGGAATGCAGTGCGTCTTCCTTTTTTACGGCCGAAACGAAGCCTCCTTCCTTTCGCATCCTACCGGAGAGGATGTCGGTGCGGCTTCCGCGGTTTCTCTTGGAGCCCTCCGACCGCGCATCCGCTCTCGGATGGAGCCACTCGCGGAGGCACGGAGAGAAATCTGAGGCCGACCGGGAAACCGTTGCACCTTCGAGATGGAGGCGATGCCCGTGACCGATGTCTCTCGCCGACGCGCGTGCAAACCCCGACGAATCGACCCTCGTCGAATACTCGTTCCAGAGAAGGATCGACGATCCCATTCCGAATAAATTCTTAACGATGGAAAAACCGTGGATCGACCGACGATTTGCACAGGCGAGACGAGCAGAAGATCGGCTCTTGAAACGAAGGAAATCATCGCAGCAGCCGATGAACGAGGGACGAAACGACGGTCCGGGCGGCGGAAGCCCACCGACGAGCCACCGAGAACCCGCCGCCTACAAAAGGGGCACCAGCTTCGAAAGATGATGGCGACGGCCTTTCGTGACGCGTGAAGCGATCTCCGAGACTGATCCTTTTAAAAGCGTCCGGATTTACATTTCCGGGCAAAGCCGCCAGAAACGAACGAAAGTATTGGAAATTCCCCAGACTCAACGAGATCGGGCCTGAAATGGACAATTTCGAGGAGTCTTCCTGGACTGTTTAACGTGATTTCACGAGTGCATCGAATGTCTTACCCTACGTTGTTCGTGGAGTAAATCCCCGGTACGGCACGAGTAGTACCGAAGGCAAACAACTTGCCGTCATCCGGCTCATAATCGCCATCTGGCTTCAGTCGGATGAAGCTTCTCTGTTGAAATGGGTGAGATAGATGGCTCCCACACTCACGCCTTCCCCTCCGTCTTCCCATTCCCAGACGACGTGGGAACAATCGATAGAGGCTCCATTTGCATTCGGCAAAAATTTTCACGTGCATTTCGTAGTTCCTCTCCTATGAACACCATACGACTCACGCTACCCTATGCCACTCTAATCGATGATGAGATATTCCCCCCGTCTGCACCGTGCTACTCCATGCTGCCCGTTGCTGCCATCATCTGAACCCCATTTCGAAGGGTGTGCACCGTGCTACTTCGAGCCACTCACTGCTCTCATCGTCTCGACTCTTCTCTCGCGTGTGCATACCACGCTACTTCATACCTCCCGCTACCACGAACCACGCTACTCGCTGCCATCCTGCTTTTAGCTCTCGGCTCTCCCGACCAGGCGATGCTTCCAGATGCTGCCTCGCGGTTGTCTGATGGATGCAACGGTGAACAATGATGCGTTCGAGCCACGAATACTCAACAATGATCGAATGCCTCATTCCAAACTCGTAGGAGTCTATATTGGGGAGGAAAATACCCGATTCGGTCAGATTCCTACCGCCTGCTCAACGTAAGCCCAACGTGCCATAAAAGAAGAACTTTCCCCCGTAGCCCGTAACATTGGAGCACCATTGATTGAATGTTGAGTCAACGTATGGATAATGATTAATTGTTAGATGTTTCAATGGTCCTCGACGAAGTCTTGATATCCTCCTTAAGAGCAAATAAAATATTTTTTATAATTAAAAAATTACTCCGGTGTCTCTGTGTGGCCCTCATGATCCATCAGTCACATCGCTATTGAACTTCGTCGTCCAGGTGCCCCACCTCTGGGAAAGTGAGGTTTAAAGTTAAAGGTTTAAAGGTTTAAAGGTTAGGGGTCTCTCTGATGATGAATTTCAGCCACCCTCTTAACTGCCATAAATCGAACGTGTTTCTTGATGGAAATCTACTCTGGGTTAAGCTACTCAATGAACCTTGATGGTGTACAAAAATACAGTGTAATCCTTTTCGGTTGTCATAAAATACAAACGTTTTTCTACTGGAAAAGAATCCATTGAACCGAGGCTGATTTAATGTCGACGCGTCCACTGTGAATAGCCCAGCATTGAAACAACGATTGGCCAATGCCACATTTGAGGAGTCTTATCCAACCACCCATGTGGAAGATGAGGTGATGGACCACTTTTTGAGGTAATGGACCAAAAACCTTCTCATGAAGAGACTGGACCTGGTTCCACTCACAAAGCAACTTTTTTTGTATGGCACCGTCTGGATGCAATAAGTGTTATATTTGTAACGTACCACTTATTGCATAACACTGCAGGTAGGACCAACGTCGACCCCACACTGA